ACTTGAAAAATACATTACTCTTCCTGATGCTCAAACACCGCTCCGTGACGACTTCTTGACAAATATCAAGTTTATGCCTTATTTCAAAGACTGCATTGGTGCAATCAACCCTGGGCCAGCAACACAGGTGTTGCGTGCTGCGCTGTGGTTGCGCTGCGGTTTTTCTGACCGCACCGCACCGTAGAATCAATTTTCAGGTTGCGGCCTGACCCGCAGCGCAACAAGATCGCTCAGATTAGTGTTTTTTTGGGCCGCAACAACATTTGTTGCGTTGCTGTCCCCAAAAACTTACAAATTGACGTTTTTTTGGCGCTGTTGCGCCTGTTGCGTTGCGCAACTGTTGAGGCGCCGCGCAGCCTGGCCTTGACTTTTGTCGTTGCGGTACTTCCCGCAACGCAGCGTCTGCTGCTTGTTGGTGTTGCGTGTTGCGGAGCAACGCATCAAAAAACGCGTGTGCTGCGGCGCGTTGCGTTGCTGGCACAGGGTTGGTGCAATTGATGGTACACACATTCCAGTCTCTCCACCAGTCTCTGAATATATTCCTTTCTCTAATCGTAAAGGCTATACATCTCAAAATGTATCTGGTAAGGAGTTCTGCGACTCGTGCGCTATAAGTCGATCTACCCGTCTTCCTTTTTCCGGTAAAATACCCCGTCCTTCTAAACCTCTCGATGTTGTTCACTCTGACCTCTCTGGAAGAATCAATCCTCCTACACCGTCAGGCTATGAATACTTTATGAAGATCACGGATGGTCACTCTTCTTACCAATGGATATACTTATTACGTTTCAAGAATGAAGCACTCGATAAATTTAAAGAGTGGAAGACTTTGACTGAACGTATGACAGGACGTGTTGTAAGAAAGCTTGTTAGTGATGGTGGTGGAGAGTATGTGAACAACGATTTCAGGGAGTTTCTTAAAAGTGAAGGTATATCTCATGATGTTACGGCGTCTCACACTCCTCAGCAAAATCCCTTTTCCGAACGAGGCAACAGAACGACTGTCGAAAAAGCTCGAACAATGCTACACCGCGCTTCTATCCCTGCTTTCATGTGGGGTGCTGCAGTTTTAACTGCTGTGTATCTTGAAAATCGTACAGTATCGAGATCTTGTGATGGCATTACTCCTTTTGAATCTTTGCATGGATCAATCCCTTTGGTTGGCCATATTCGAATCTTTGGTTGTGCTGCATTTCGCCATCTTACTCACGGAAGAGATGGGAAGTTTGGTCCTCGTGCTGAAAAGCTTGTTCTCGTTGGATTTATTGAAGGAATGAAAAATTACCGCCTATACGATCCCGCCACTGGGACAATCTATACCACTCATGATGTCAAATTTAATGAATCTGAGTTCCCTTTTGTCGAACTATCAAAGAATCCGACTACTTCCATTGTACCCTTCACCGAAGAAGAAATCTTGGGAAGAGAACCTGTTTGAATTCGTCTTCATCAGCCTGTCATTGCCGAAGAAATTCGACAAGAACGTGAAAACATTAGTGCAACTGCGCTTATATCCATCATTGGCAATTCTATTGACGAATCATCCAATTTATCTACGCTCGATCTTGAACCAAATCCTCCTACCTATTCGAAAGCTCTTCTAACTCGCAACTCTATCAAATGGCAACAAGCTACCTTTGAAGAGTTTGATTCCTTTGCTGCTAATCACGTCTTTGAGATCGTTGACAGTATTCCTTCCGATCATAAACCAATTACAACCCGATTCGTGTACACACGAAAGTTTGACGATTCTGGCTTTCTCAACAAATTCAAAGCTAGATGTGTAGCTCGTGGTTTTCTTCAAGAGGAAGGAAAAGATTTTGACGAAACTTTTTCTCCAACTGGACGTTTGCAACTCTGAGAGCCCTTTTTGGCCACGCTGCTGTCGA